GGGGGTTTTCAGGCCCCCCATTGGGGAGGTCTGCCAGCTGCAGTCGAGTTCTAGGCGGCTCCAAAAACCTGACGGATCGCTGGAACCAAAAGAAGCGCCCCCGAAACGGAGAAGGACGCGTTCCGGAAGAGCGAGCCGAGATGAGCCGTAGAGAAGCGATCTTAGCGACACAACATGCTGGATTTTGATGTGACATGATGTGACCACGGGAGAGACAATAAACACAAGAAGGTTGTCACATGACTCCACTATATAGGGTGTTCTTACTGGTGTTCTTCTCTTTTCCACTGGCGTTCTTTTTCTTGTGATGCGACCATGTGAGAATCATTGAGAATCCAATCTATCAAGTGGACTAACTTCAGCTAGAGAGAGAAACCTAAGATCCAGGAGACCCCACCGGCTCTGATTGCTGTACACTGATGATGCTGCCCATCCGGCCTCCAAAGCCAAGCAAGCTGCTCTTTGGGCTTTGGCTCATTCCTGTGCGAAGCATCACAAAACACGATGTATCCTGATTCTTGCGGCTAAAATGACTATGAGCCCGACGTGGGCAAGCAACTGGCCAAGTCTTCCATCTGTACTAGATGAACATGGGCAAGCAACATGACAAGGAACACAGGGATTACTGGCATCAAAAGAAATGACATGTCGACACCATACGTTTCAAGACTTTGTTCGACAAGCTGTGCCACCACGCAAAAATGACGTGACTGTCCGGCAGCAAGGCGGCGCAGCCTGCTGAAGGGACATGGGCGCCACCTTCCAGCCACAGTCTATGCAGAGCTGCTGACCTGGCTGGGTTGCAGCACTTATTCAAGAATGAGCAACCACTGGGGTCACACTTCTTGTGTGCACATCTATATCATACTGCCTTGCATGATCCACATGAACAAAGGACCCCTAGTAAGACCCTTGGAAACATGTTGAATGAAAAGAGGAACCTAATGAAATCCCATCCAGTCTTCTCTCTATATATGCATAATTACATGTATGTGTGTGCTCTTGTGGAGGGAGGGGTGCTGAAGAGCTTTCATGAGACGCGTGGCGAAATCAGTTCTTGCAGGTAACTGATGGCACCTGTAGGTCCTTGTGACCTGTTCCGACCTCATTCACCTATTGTTCCTTTTGGCCTATTAAGCCTTTTCCTGAACATGTGTTTCACAAAAGAAGAAAACAAACGTTGTCAGGGTCTAAACACTTGAATGCATGGAGGGATCGACCATGGACCCCCAACTGCAAGCCGCTTGGTTTTGAAAGATATGGCACATGTATGTTGACTCTATTTAAAAAAATCATACAAATTCGTTGGGGCCCGGCCCACTACCCAACCCGCATGTCCCAAGTCCCAACTTAGGATACTGTCTAGGGTTTAGGGCTGTCCCAGTTCCCTATGATTGAAATCTCACGGTCCAAGCTTTAGTGTAGCTTTCCTTCACAAAACCATCGCTGACGCGAACCATCAACTGCTTGAGATTATGAAAACCATACACATCAATCCATAGTGAACATGACTGGCTTTCAAGAATCAGACTTCACGGCTGTTCCGTCCTGTCCACGTCCGGACCCCTTGGGAAGGCGGTACCAAACCCTCCGCCCGCCTTGGCGCGATCCCCACGGTGAACGGTGAACGGTTGGAGTCGAACGTGGCCTGAGGAAGCGAAAGAGCTAACGTTCACCATGATGATGCCAGAGGAGCAATGGGGAGCCCTGCGTTGGTGGGGAGGCCTGAAAGCGTGGGTTCCTCAGGCGTCAAGGGCTGAAAGGACTTGTGATGGATCTCTGGTGGTCGGCCCGGGGTCTGGGATGTGAACCTGGAGCCCAGGACGGTGAGCCTCAGAGAGCTCAGAGACCTTTACATTTGACCTCTGTTTTGACAGGAAAGGACCATATATAGCTTAAGATTTCCTATGGAATGGAATCGTGGATCCCCATGGTGCAAACGACCCCATCGTGCCATAGGTTGGAATCCAGGATCGTTGCCGTATATACGGTCATGCGCAGTATTGTTAGAATGTTTAATTAATTATAGCCATAGGTATTCATATAAAGGTCATGTTATTGTTCTTTCTTCTTCCCGAGCCTCTTTTGTCTAACGTTTTCATCGCTCTCCAGACTGGAGATCCGAGCTCTGCACCTTGGGCGCGCCCGGCATGCTGGCAAAGGTTTCCGCCGAAGCCGCGGTGGATTCAAACCGCCATTGCTTGAATGGTCTGAGTCGCGAGCAACCATTGTTGGATTTTACACCACAAAACCAAACCAAGGAAAACCATTTCTATCCACTTCCAAAATCGTCTTTGAAGGCTATAGGGCTAAGCTTGCCTCAGCTGGTGGTATTTTCGCTCGCAGCTCTTCGTGTCATAGGTGGTCCCTTTCACAGTGCCGCCGCCGGCATTTCCAAGTAAGTACCACACTTTGGCCAGCTTCTCATCGCATTCCAGGGCTCGCTGATAGCAGCTCTTCTGGTCATAGGCGACTCCTTTGACAGTACCGCCATCCGCGTATCCGAGATTAGCCCAAGCATTGGCATCAGGCATCTTTGTTGTCAGATTCCAGGGCTCACGTGTAGCAGCCCTTCTTGTCATAATTGGCCCCTTTCACTCTACCACCACCTGCATTTCCGAGATTGGCCCAAGCATTGGCATCCTTGTTGTCACATTCCAAGGCTCGAGTGTAGCAGCTCTTCTTGTCATAGGCAACTCCTTTCACACTACCGCCACCGGCAATTCCGAGTAGGTACCAGACTTTGGCAAACTTGTCGTCACATTCCAGGGCTCGCTCGTAGCAGCTCTTCTTGTCATAGTTGACCCCTTTCACTCTACCACCACCAGCATGTCCGAGATTGGCCCAGGCATTGGCATTCCCACTGCCGATCTCCGGTTCTGTGGACTCCTGCATGAATGTCATACACATCAAGAAGTCGGCGCACAACAGCTGTGATAGGGGTACCCCATGTGACCGTGTTTAAGGTAGGTGGGGTACCCTCTAGTTACTCTAGTTGCCTGGCCTAGGAAAAATAAGAGACACAACTTGCTCTACATCCCAGAATTCAAAAGGGTTTCCAGCAAAACCAGAAACATCTAACAAGAACAATGAATATGTGTTTGGGAAACCCACTTGCGGAAGGTCGGGGATCAAACAAGTCGAATGTGGCAAAATATGGCAACATGATCACCAAACATCACCACCGCAACATCTGCAAGAGAAGGTCCTTCTTGGTGTACTTCTTGCCACCTCCTTTTCCAACTTGTAGTGGGTCCACCTGCCAAAATCACGAACTTGGCGCATCTGGGTGCCATTTTGGGGACAGATCACCCACTACACTATACACTTAGCGTCCGCCTCTAAGACCATCACCCCACAGCATCTCGCCTCAGACTTCTCCTTTGGTGAAAAGCTTGGCGCCGACGCACGCATGTCTTCCATTGCCTTGTTGTGCAAGATGCTACGCGACACCTTCCTATGTTCTTAAGTCTTTGGAGGTTTGAGTGCTGCAGCCTTTGCCTAGTCTACCTAGTCCCTTGAAAACAAAAGCAAACAACATACAACTATAAACAGTCATTCACATGTGAAAAGTCCTCAAGTTCACACGGCCCAGGTGCTTTCCCCATGCTGATTCCTGCCTGTGCTTTAGCCTTCCGCAAAGTTTAGGCCAAGGGCACAAGGCTTGGCGCATGGAGGGGCTGGAGGCCCTGCGGGAGGCCCTGCGGGAGGCCCTGCGGACGGACGCTTTTGGAAGAAAAACAGGACGCGTCCTCGGCTGGAGGACCTGTGGAGGTTCCAGTGGTATCAAAGGCTCGATGGCACATCGACTGGGCCCCCGGTCGGTCGGTCGGTCGGTGAACATGTGCCATTGTGCCCTCGGATATATGGCTGTAGATGAATCTTGCAGTTCTTGTCCTTCGGATATTACTGTCTAGATGCATATTGCAGTTCTTGTTCTACAGCAATCTGTTCCGTAGATTCGTAGATGAATATTACTGTAGGATGAATCTTGCAGTTCTAAGCACATAGATCTAAGTACCAAGTCGCTGGTGGAAACAAAAGTGAAGAGACCAGGCACATCACGTTTGAGACCGGGTCCCTGGACACTGTCTCAGTCGACGGACCTAGTAGATCATGAACACGTTGTATGATGCAGTTGCAAGTGAGAACCATGGAATGCACAAAGTAAAACACTTGACAAAAAGACTGCAATCCTGCAAAGAACTACGTGGAGGCGAGGCAAAAGAAAGCGGTTGCAAACCGACAATGTATAGCTGAAGCACAATCATTCCCGGAAGGCCCGCATCATCCTCCGCCACAATGTGGAAAGAGATGGGCATCACAGTGCAGCTGAGGCTGAGGAAGGAAGCACCAAAGTGTTACGAAGGAAGGACTGCGTGACTGCCATGTTTCCCGACCTTCTTGACGAAACTGGCAAATTCCAGTGAACACGCGGCAAACTAAGATTAGTCCAAACACTCCATGTATATGCCGTATATGCAGATCAGTTGGGGTGGTGCCAGGGGGGTCTTTCTGGGGCGGCAGTCCTATGGCAGTCCCATGGGTCGTGTCTGTGTAAGATACCTTGCAATCAAAAATGCTCCGCAAAAACCGATGAAACGAAAGCATCAGCTACCGGACTAAGGCGGTGAGAGGGTGAGGGTGGGGTTGAATCCAGGTCGG